ACCTGGCTAAATTGCATTCTAGCCAGTTCCCGTAATTAGTCTGTCCACATTCTTAACTTGCTTCATGCCTCCATGTCTTTATAAAGAAAGCCTAAAGAATATTTTATGTCTAAATAGGATTCTATATACCCAGTATCTATAATTTTTCACTCTACAATCCAAATTTCATATTCCATGATACCTAGTCCTAGATCCAAATTTCAAGTTTCATGTTGACTAGTCCTCGATCCAAATTTCATATTCTATGTTAACTAATCCAAATTCAGATTTCATAGTCCATATTAGCTAGTCCTAGACCAAAATTTCCAATTCCGTGTTAACTAGTCCTAGATCCAAATATCATATCCCAGATGCACCAGTCCTAGATCAAAATTTCCAATTCCACCTTAACTCGTCCTAGATCACAACGTCATATTCCATGTTAAATTGTTCAAACTATAACATGAATCTTGATCCTAAAAGAGCATTAGACAGAGATGAATTCATAATATCATTAAAGAGAAAATTTTTATTGAAAATAAGCTTTATTACATCAAGTAATAAACACAAAGATGCAACACTTTCAGTCATTTTGTTCCAGATGTTGTGCTGGGCTCACAGTACACACGGAACTGAGATCTACAGTCTCAGGATGGACATTTGCAGGATGCTTGGTAGGTTGGGTAGATTGCTCTTCCTTCTGTATTTATAACCTGTGCATTTTAACGATTGACTTCAAAGCACTCAGTCATGCAAAGGCTTAAGCAGAGAAGCTCCATGAAGCAGGGTCTACACTGTACACAGGCCGGCCAGCTACTAAGCAAAGGTGCTCAGAAATTTGAGACACAAACCATTGGCTGTGCTGTCTGTCAGCAGTAACATTGCACATAGGGACAAGGTCTTATTAATGCCATTCTCCCTACTAGGGAACACCTGCTCTTTTTCAAAGTTAGTATACCTATGCATTTTTTCAAATATATTTATCCTTTTAAGAAGACAATTGTTGGTGTTGCTTTTTGAATTTCATTTTCTTTATGTATCACTGCTCTAATCTCTTGTTTGTTTCTATTCTCCAAAGTTTCCTCATCATTAAGAATTTCATTCCTTTTGCTCAGAGGCTTTGATATTTGTTTCTGTTTAGAGCAGTGTCTTCTACAGCTGAGACTTTGGTCATTATATGTAGTTAAGGCTTGCTTTGAAGACCTAATCCTGCCTCTGCTGCACTATGCCTTCAAGTCAGTCATACATCTCCTTTCAGGCTGGGTCCTACTGCTCAGTGTGAAGGAAAAGGCACTAGTGGATGAGTGTCCTCTAACCTCCATGGCTTTTTTTTTTGTGGGAATTACAAATAAAGAGGGACCTGTGTAACAATTGAGTTTCCTTGAAAAACTCTGAAGCTGGTGCAGTCACCATACAGAAAGGCTGTGGAGGAAAGAAATTGGGAGCTTTCCTGTTTTGACAGTAGTTGGCTTTAGTAATGAGTACTCAGGTAATCAATTTTAGATGGTCAATAAAAGTCCAAACTGGCCATTTTGGGAAGTTCACAGACCAGGGCAATCAAGAATCTGGATGTAAAACTGAATTTATTTCTAGAAACCAAATTTCCAATTCCACGTTAACTCGTCCTAGATCACAACTTCATATTCCATGTTAAATTGTTCAAACTATAACATGAATCTTGATCCTAAAAGAGCATTAGACAGAGATGAATTCATGCTATCATTAAAGAGAAATTTCTTTAATGAAAATAAGCTTTATTACATCAAGTAATAAATACAAAGATGCAACACTTTCAGTCATTTTGTTCCAGATGTTGTGATCGGCTCACAGTAAACACAGAACTGAGATCTACAGTCTCAGGATGGACATTTGCAGGGTGCTTGGTAGGTTGGGTAGATTGCTCTTTCTTCTGTATTTATAACCTGTGCATTTTAAAGATTGACCTCAAAGCACTCAGTCATGCAAATGCTTAAGCAGAGAAGCTCCATGAAGCAGGGTCTACACTGTACACAGGCGGGCCAGCTACTAAGCAAATGTGCTGTGGTCTGCACTCAACTCCTCAGGGGCAGGTGAGCTCATAGAAAGGAAGTCAATTGGGGTGATGCAAATGGAAAATGTATCCAAAGGGAGGTTAAAAGGGACACTGGTATTTGGGGATAAAGTATAGCTTGCTGTGAAGTGGCTTCACAAACATCTTTCAAATGCTTGGAAAGGAAAAAGAACTGGGTCATTCCCAACTACTTAAATGCACACCATCAGTTACTGCAAAATGTCTTCCCAATCATTTGAGTGTGGGTTCAGAGCTTAATGAATGTGGTAGAAAACTTACTGCCATTTTGAACAAAGCCTCTCATCTCCAGGGAGTAGCCAGATGGGCCTTCAGACTGGCCAGGGGCTAGGACCTGGCATTACATTCCATTTCAGCCAAGCACTCCCGAACCAGGCTTCGGGCATGAATGATGCCTCCTTTTAGCCTCTCCAAGGCTCTCTTGCTCCCTGCATATGTGGGTCTGATCTCTTTCCCCAGCTCTCCGATAATGGCCAGCAGCTCTGCATATTTACTCTGAGGCACTTGGCTATTTCCAGTTCCCTGGGTGTAGCCTAGCGATGGAGGTCCATAGTCACTCAGCAGCTGGTGATACTGAGAGAAAGTCGCCATGCTAGTAGATGGTGAGTGGACACCTCCGGCATTGAGGGCAGTGGTGGCCATGTGCACGGTTAAGTTCGGCCTGCGCACTTTTTGTTGTCTCCACCTCGGGCTGCACCAGCAAATATGGCTGTCCTTCACCCTGCTGCCACCACAGCATATCACCCATACATCGGGCGCCTAAAGACAATTTTTAAAAGTAATCTTTAATTGTGTACAGAGTGATTTCTCCCTGGGAAGGCATATTAATTCTGAGACAGCTGTATCTTCAGCCTTTTAGAAAAATGATTCCAAGAAAAGCTATGTTGACTCAGGTCAGCTTGTTGCCAGTCTGTTGCTCCCCTGGGAAGTTACCTTGCTTTCCCCTTGAATGAACTTCTTGAGTTTTTTAGTTAAAAGGCTGAACCACAACAGAGTTTTAAAATTACCCGTTGGAGTCATGTAGTGAACTGTCCATTGAAGCAACAGGAAAAGGATTTGCATGTGAAGCATGGCTTCTGCCTTCAGACCAGAACATGAGGAACAGGTTATTGTGTACACTGCACAGTGAAATAGGACAGGCAACAGCTACATCACAGATTAAAGTTTTAGGGGGTCAGTTGTAGGGGAGCACTATTATAAAGATCTGATACAAGCAGAGTGAGTGATTTTGTAATTTCCCAGCATGTATTAATTCATGTATGTGAAGAAAAACAGACCAGATTGTGGGGGTGTACAATTTGGGTATGTTAACTTGAGCCAGTGGATATTGAATTACAAATTAGGACACTGTCCTGTGGAGATATGTGGAATACTCACTGATACAGTTAAGACAGCTCAGAAATTTGAGACACAAACCATCGGCTGTGCTGTCTGTCAACAGTAACATTGCACATAGGGACAAGGTCTTATTAATGCCATTCTCCCTACTAGGGAACACCTGCTCTTTTTCAAAGTTAGAATACCTATGTATTTTTTCATATTTATTCATCCTTTTAAGAAGTCAATTGCTGGTGTTGCTTTTTGAATTTCATTTTCTTTATGTATCACTGCTCTAATCTCTTGTTTGTTTCTATTCTCCAAAGTTTCCTCATCATTAAGAATTTCATTCCTTTTGCTCAGAGGCTTTGATATTTGTTTCTTTTTAGAGCAGTGTCTTCTATAGCTGAGACTTTGGTCATTATATATAGTCAAGGCTTGCTTTTGTAAGAGTAAAAATTAAGAACAACTTGGAAAAGACTGCAGGACAGCTTGCTGAGCTTGCTGAGAATAGACATAATAAAAATATCAAGCCCCTCTAGGGACGAGGTGACCAGAAATGGAGAAACAACCAAAGACATATCTTGATCAGTCTAAACATGCCCAAGTGAGTAATGGGCCACCTGGTGTTTATCC